TACAACTATTTAGATAACAATCATATTACTGACACATATTAAACAAGAAATGATTGTTGATTTAATTAATGTGAAACAAGTAATAAATGATTGTTGGTTTAATTAATGTGTAATCAGGGCCTGTAAAAACACTTCCCTTCTTGATTCTAGCTATGTGTTTTGACTTGAAAGAAATACCTGTCCCATATCTGATATACATTGTAAATGGAGTACTTTTTCTGCTCCCTACCTTGCAATAGACCATAAGCAGGAGCCAAATCCTAAGCCTTAAGCAAGTTTTCTCTGGATTAACAGCAGGAGTAAAAGCCTAACAATACCATTGTTGGAAAAATTATGAAAGAAGCAGTTTCAGAGACATTTGTGAAGACTTGTGCAAAGTGATCCACAGGGGAGTGAGCAGAACCAGAACAATTTATACAATATATGACATTATAAGGCAGATAACTTTGAAAGACTTCAGTCCTATAATCAATGCAATGACCAACTCTGACTACAGAGGATCAGTGAGAAACCATTGCTATTCAGCTCCTGAATGAAAGGTGATAAACTCAACATGCAGAATGAGGCATACATTTTAAAATATAGTCAATGTGGCAGTTTGTTTTGCTTGACTATGCATATTTGTTACAAGAGATTTATTTTTCTTTCTTTTTTAAATTGGGAAGGAAAAAGGAGGGAAAAAATAATTTTATTAACAGGAAAAAAATTTTTTTTTGAAAAGGAGAGCCTCTAACATGACAAAACAGGAAAATGATAAATGTTGAAGACATGGGAAAACTGGAACACTAATGCATTGCTGGAGGAACTGATCTTACCATTCGGGAGAGCAATTTGAAACTATGCCCAAAGGGCTATAAAACTGTGCATACCCTTTGATCCAACAATACCACTACTAGGTCTGTATCCCAAAGAGATCATAAAAATGGGAAAAGGACTCACATATACAAAAATGTTTATAGCAGCTCTTTTTGTAGTGGCAAAGAATTGGAAATTGAGAGGATGCCCATCAATTGGGGAATGGCTGAACAAGTTGTGGTATATGACTGTAATGGAATACTATTGTGCTATAAGAAATGATGAGCAGGCAGACTTCAGAAAAACCTGGGAAGACTTTCATGAACTTATGCTGAGTGAAATGAGCAGAACTAGGAGAACATTGTACACAATAACAGCAACATTGTTTGATGACTCACTTTGATAGACTTAGCTCTTCTCAGCAAGGCAATGATCTAAGACAATCTTTTTTTAAAAAATAATTACTTTATTTATTTTTAGTTTTCAACATTCACTTCCATAAGATTTGAGTTTTAAATTTTCTCCCCTTCCCTATTCTCCCCCCTCCCCAAAACTTCGTGCAAGCTGATACAGGCTCTTCAATCTAAGACAATTTCAAAAGACTTATGATGGAACTAGTCACATCTAGAGAAGAACTATAAAATCTGAATGTAGATCGAAGCATTCTATTTTTTCTCTTTCTTTTTTTGTTTTTGTTTTTTTCTTTCTTGTGGTTTTTTCCTTTTGTTCTGAGTCTTCTTTCACAACATGACTAATACGGAAATACGTTTAAAATGACTGTATATGTATAGCCTATATCAGATTGCATGCTGTCTGGGGGAGATAAGAGAGGAGGGAGGGGGAAAATTTTAGAACTCAAAATCTTATAAAAGTGAATGTTGATGACAAAACAGGAAAATGATAAATGTCAGGGAAGATGTGGGAAAATTGGAACACTAATGCACTGTTGGTGGAGTTGTGAAATGATCCAACCATTTTGGAAAGTAATTTAGAACTATGCCCAAAGGACTATAAAAATGTGCATAACCTTTAACCCAGCAATAGTACTTCTAGGCTATATCCCAAAGAGATCATACAAATGGGAAAAGGACCCACATGTACAAAAATATTTTTAGTAGCTCTTTCTGTGGTGGCAAAGAATTGGAAATTGAGAGGATGCCCATCAATTGGGGAATGGCTGAATAAGTAGTGGTATATGAATGTAATGGAATACTATTGTGTTATAAGAAATAATGAATAGGCTGACTTCAGAAAAACCTAGAAAGATTTGTATGGTCTGATGCTGAGTGAAATGAACAGAACCAGAAGAAAGTTGTACACAGTAACAGCCACATTGTGCAATGACTAATATTGATAGACTTAACCCTTCTCAGCAATACAAGCATCTAAGACATCTCCAAAGGCCTTCATGATGGAAAATGCTATCCACATCCAAAGAAAGAACTATGGAGTTTGAATGCAGATCAAAGCATACTATTTGCTATTTTTTTTTCTTCTGTTTTGTTTCCTCTTTCTGGTGGTTCCTCCTATTTGTTCTAATTCTTACTTACAACATCACTAATGTGAAAATATGTTTAACAGGAATGTGTATTATATGTATATATAATAATATATAATATATAACAGGATAGCCTGTATCAGATTGCGTGCTGTCTTGGGGAAGGAGGTGGGGAAAAGTTTAAAACTCAAAAGCTTATGGAAGTGATTGTTGATCATTCAAAATAAATTAATTAAAAATTTTAAAAAAATGAATGTTGAAATCTAAAAATTAATTTAAAAAAAGAGAGCCTCTTATCAAGACAGTGATCCAAGCCAGTTCCAAAGGAGCCATGATTAAAAATGCCATCCATCTTCAGAGAGAGAACTGATAAACTCTGAGTGAAGATTTAAGCATATTTTTTACTTTATTTTTCTTGGGTTTCTTGTGTGTGTGTGTGTTTTCTTTTGCAACATGTCTAATATGGAAATGTTTTCTATGACTTCACATGTATAAATGATATATTGCTTGCCTTCTCAAGGGCTGGGAGAGGGTAGGGAAGGATAGAATTTGGAACTCAAAATTTAAAAAAAAGAACATTAAATTTTTTTACGTGTAATTGAGAAATATTTAATGAAATAAATAAAAATAGGAGCCTAAATCTCTCATTAGAGGCTAGGTTCCCCCAGAAATCAAACCTGTATTGACTGCGTGCTGGAATCCAAAGAAGAGGGGGATCCTTTAGTGGAGAAGAGTATCAAGTGTCCCAGCCTGGTCTGACCAGGACCAGTTCCTTACAGTCAAAAAAAAAAAATCCAACTAAATGAATGAAGACCACAGATCACAGAGAACTGAATGAATATCTTTTACTCATCCGGAATGTCTTTAACTTTCTCCATTCTCCTGGCCCCTTCTTCATGGCCCATTTTAGCTGGTTGTCAATATTGCATTACACCAATTAAAATCAATCCAAGATCTCTTACAGTTTTTAAAATCCAAAATCAAACCTCCTACTGTACTCAAAAAACTAGGCTAGCTACCAGTACTTAACTTGTCTCCTATAGGTGAGCAGAGAAGAGGACGGAAGGTATATTCAACCCAGTATCATGACTTTGGGCTTTTGGACCTCAAGCAGCACCTTGTCTTGCTCGTCCGGAATCTTGTCTTTGTCTTGTAGTTATCTTTGTGTTCAAATACACTTTAATCTTCATTTGGGCAGGGACTATGATTTATGTAAACTTTTGTATCATCTGAGGCAGAACCAGTGGCATAACCTTTGGCCTTTGGACTTCAAGACGCATTTCCCCCGACCCCTCTCAAATACTGTTACCTTGTAACATCGTGTATTATAATCATCCCTTTGTGTTTACTAGACTTCAGGCTGCGTTCCTTAGGGCGAGGATGGGGATTTAGCTAAATTTCAGCGTCTTATCACGTGGACCAAGCCCAAGGCTCTCACACCACTCCGACCCTTAATCGAGGTTTTTTGAAATTATCAAGGTGAAAGGTAAAGGGGAATGGGAGGCTGAGGATATAGCCCGAAGGCTTTGGGGAGCCACAGCTGGGGTAGGTGTGGGGCGGAGAGTGATGGGAGAGTGCAGGAAATGGAGAAGAAAAGGATGAGGACAAGGGAGGTGGGGGAGGGGCACTGCGCGGGGCCCTGGACCACAAGGCAGCACCCGGCCGAGGGTAGAACACCTGGGCTCCACCCCTAGCTCGCCGTGCCTGGCACACAGCAGGCGCTTAATAAATGCCTGTTACTTGTTGGCTGGATGACTACGAGTCGCTTCTCTCCTCTGGGCCTCACTTTGCCCAGGATGGTTTCTAAGCCCTACAGATGGGGGAGCGGGCGGGCCAGGGGCCCGGGCGGGCTAGGGTCGGGGAATCACTCCCGCCCAGCCCCAGGAAGGGGAGCTGGCCGGCCACCTCGAGGCGTGGGCTTGTTGACGAAGGGATGCGCTCCCCAGGGCAGAGGCGGGGCCACAGCCGCGCGCAGTGTACGCCGAGAGTTGTAGTCCCCCGCCCCGCAGTGGGGGGCGGGTGCGCGGGAAGCTGCGCATCATGGGAAAGGCAGTTCTCTGAATGGAGCACGGCGGTTCGCGAGAAACTCTAAGTTCGTTCATTCATCCAGAGACATCTCTTGTTCCGCCCGCCAGAGCTAGAGCGTCGCCCCGGTGGAACACTACGAGGATGGTTTTTCCTGGACGAGCGCCTTATCATTCTGACCTTTTCTCTAGCCTTGACCCCGGAAGTAGTGCGGCCAACGGCGGAAGCGCGCGGCGCGGTGCATTGTGGGGGGCGTAGTCCGACTTCCCGGGCGCTTCTTCGTCTCGGCCCCGGGACCCACTGACTGACTGACAGGCTCTGGTGGCCGCGGGGGCTGCCAGTGGGCGGGTGGACGGCGCGGGGGCCGTCGGGGAGCGTCCCCAGGAGAGCGGACGAGCGAGCGAGGGGAGGCCAGGCCCGGCTCCGCTCGGGGCGGGGAGGGACGCCGACGCCCGGCCGGTGGGGGGCGTAGGGAGTCCGGGCGGACGCCGAGGCCTCGCCCGTCGGTGGGTGTCCCGGGGTCCCGAGGCCCGGGCGTGAGGCCGGGCCCCGAGGCGGAGCCGGAGGCCGGGGTTTCGGCCGAGGCCCTCCGAGCTTTCCGGGCCCGAGCGGTCAGGCGGCGGCCGGGGCGGCGGCGGCCGAGGCCCGAGGCCGGGGCCGTCGGCGGGCCGGGGCCGCCGCGATGCCGGGCTTCACGTGCTGCGTGCCGGGCTGCTACAACAACTCCCACCGGGACAAGGCGCTGCACTTCTACACCTTCCCCAAGGACGCGGAGCTGCGGCGCCAGTGGCTCAAGAACGTGTCCCGGGCCGGCGTCAGCGGCTGCTTCTCCACCTTCCAGCCCACGGCCGGCCACCGCCTGTGCAGCGTCCACTTCCAGGGCGGCCGCAAGACCTACACGGTGCGCGTTCCCACCATCTTCCCGCTGCGCGGCGTCAACGAGCGCAAGGCTCGGCGGCCCGGGGGCGGCGGGGCGGCGGGGGCGGCCGCCCGACGGAGGCAGCAGCAGCAGCAGCAGTTGCAGCAGCAGCCTCCCCAACCTCAGCAGCAGCCGCCGCAGCCGCCGGCCGCGCTTCCGGCCCCGTCGCAGGCGTCCCTGGTGTCCGCCTCGGCCGCCGTGCTGCTCACCCTGCAGGCGGCCGTGGAGAGCGGCCCCACCGCCGCCGCGCCCCCACAACCCCCGGCCGGGGACGACGTGAAGCCTATCGACCTGACGGTGCAGGTGGAGTTCGCCTCGGCGGAGGGGGCCGCCGCCCCAGAGCTCGGCGTCCCCGCGGTGCCCGCGGCCGCCTCGGGGCCCAGGCTGGTGGTCGTGGGCGAGGAGGGCTTCCCCGACACGGGCTCGGACCACTCCTATTCGCTGTCCTCCGGCACTACGGAGGAAGAGCTGCTGCGGAAGCTGAATGAGCAGCGCGATATCCTGGCCCTGATGGAGGTTAAGATGAAGGAGATGAAAGGCAGCATCCGCCACCTGCGGCTCACGGAGGCCAAGCTTCGGGAGGAGCTCCGAGAGAAGGACCGGCTGTTGGCCATGGCTGTTATCCGCAAGAAGCACGGGATGTGAGGAAGGCTCCTGTGTCCTGCCTGCCCCCTATACTGGACTCCTGAGTTACCACCTGCCTGCCAGTTCTGCCTGGGGTTGGGGTAGGGGTAGCCCCTGCCACTGACACAGTTGGACTCCTGGATGGTACCCACCCTCCCTTCCTCTGCAGTTGAACTCCTGGCCTGGCATCCACCATCCTTGACTGCAGACCGAACGAGCCCAGGCACCCTCACTTGTTGCCTCTTATCCTCAGACTCTGACATTACTGTACTTAGCCCAAACACCTTCTTGAGTCGGGGGCCTGGGGTAGCTGGGGCCCCCTCAGTTTTGTGCATTTGTCATGCCAGCTGGTATGATCAGGACTTGTTCTCTGTTTCTGTTTGGAGCTCTTTTTATGACCATGGGATTTAAAGTGATCACTGTTTGGAACTCATCCTTGGGGTTATGGGTGGGGAGGCAGGCTCCAGGGAACCATATGTGGGCAATTTGACCTTGGAGTTGATCAGAGACAGTCCCTTTCTGTGTAGTGACAAAGGCAGAGTTGGGACCCAGGTCCCAAGAAGCATCTAATGCTTATTCCCCCTTCCCCTGTCCCTCCACCCTTCAGCTTTTCCTTTTCCTATCCCAGTTTTGGACTGTGATTCCAATAGGGGGATGTGATGAACTGGAGTCAGACCTATTAAGTTTTTCCTGGGTGGTTGTGAGCAGGATGTTCCTCTCTCTGTCTCTTGTCTGGCAGTTTGTCTTTGAGGGGAAACTGGGTAACCTTTCTGAGGTAGACCCAATTTGCCAGGGACTTGGGTTTTTTTTTTTTTAAACAAACCAAAAAAAAAAAAACCATCCTGGTGATATGTTTGCTACTGGTTACAAATAATTATATTTTCTGTACAATTAGACTAAAGTTTTCACTGTGTCCTGTTTGGCAAAGCAAATTAAAATGTAAGGTTTTTATTTGGGTTTGGGGGTTCTTATTTTCAAATAGAGATGAGTCTGTTCACAAAAGTCCCTAAAGTAGAATCCTAAATATTACCTAGAGATGCCAAAGGTCTAGTGGGAGGGTTGGTGGCTTTGGGAACTGAATTCCTATTAGATCTTAGGGAATTTCGGACTAGAGTTCCACCAGGGAGAGGGAAAAGTATCTTGGTAAAAGTTAAGAGGGAAAGGATGCTTGCAATAGAGCAAACAGCACTGGACTTGAAGTCAGCCAGTCTTGGATTAAAAACTTCAACACTGACTCTAGGTGTGTGGCCATGTGCAAGTTACTTCCCCTTTGAGCCTCAGTTTAGCAATATTTGCACAAAGTTGTAAAGAAAGTGGTTTGTAAACCATGAAGTACTATAGAAATATGAGTTATTCTTAGGAGGTCTAATCATTTCTCAGGGCTGTGACTTCTTTTACAGGTTGTGATCCTAAATGTGGTTTATCCTCAAAACTCCTGGCTTTGCTTATTCATCAGAGTCTTCTGTGAGGAGGTATACTCTAAGTATACCCTAAGCTGAGCCCGTAACAGATTTATAGGCTGTTTAAACAATCTCCTTTTGTTCTTCCTATAGCAGAGAAGAGCCTGGAGTCCACTGGAAAGATCAAATGAAGCCAAGGCTGAAGACCTGTAGGCCTAGATCTGAAAGGGCTTTGAATTACGCTTTTGGCTATTCAATGAGAAACTCCTGGGCAGGAGAGCCAGTCCAAAATGGTTGTATATTTTCTTCCAGCCCTTTATGACAGTCAGATTGGTGGTCCTGATCTTGGGTGTAGATCTTTCCCTGTCTGAGAGTGAAACCCAGTTCTTCTAAATGCAAGTCCAGTACAAATTCAGCTCTGACACTAAATGTGTGATTATGAATGTGTGATCAGGTCAGTTTTCTTTTCTGTTAAATGGGTTAATGCTTGCACTTCATGCTTCCTGGACAGGACTTCAGGGAATGTTCAAATGGAGGCCTTTTCACTTTCAGCAATTCCTTGCATTTCTATAAAACTCAGTGTTTCCAAAATATTGTCACATCCTTTTATCCCCTTTGATCCTCACCAATCCTGAGGTAGTCCTTAGGAGTAAATCTGAATGTGAGTTCCAAGTCTCATATCGTTGTTCTTGGTAAGCAAAAACTTACAGGAAACCAAGAATGCTTTCCCTCATTTCTAGTTTTAAAAAGAGAAATAGATACTGTGAAAATCAGAGTTAGGTGAGGGTTAAATCCCTTTTGTTTTGGATTCTGGTTATTTTGACTCTTGAAATATAAATGTTGACCTTTGTAAAATGAAGGGCATGATGTCAGGTATAGTGAGAAAAGCACTGGATTGGGAGAGAAATGACCAGGGTTAAAATCTAGGCAGTGTACTGTAGAGCAGTGGGGTCAAACTCAAATAGAAACAAGGCCACTAAACTGTACAGAAGGATCTCTACAGACTATAGCCTTACTTAGAAAACCACATATTAATGTTATTTTGTTAAGCATTTCCCAGTTACATTTTAATCTGGTTCCTGCTGCACCATTTCATGTCTGATACCTTTGTTGTGGAGGACTTAGTTGTGAATCCTGGCTCTATTCCTTCCTACCTATGTGACCTGGGGCAAATTGGTTCCCCTCTTTTGGTCTCAAGTTTCCTCACCTAAAATGAGGGGGATGGGCTGGATGACTTCCAAGGCCTCTTAGAGCTTTTTAATCTTGTCCTCTAGAATGTGTCCAGCCTTTGGTACTTGGGATACTGGGTGGGGCTGCGAGGGATGGAATGGAAATCTGTGTGAAGGACTCTTGAGCTGTGTCGGCTACTCTGAAACCTCATTTTAGGCTCTTTTTGTTTCTCTGCTGCCCTCTCATCATCTTAGCTCTTTCAATTCTAGTTGGGAAACCTGTTTATGGATCATATATCCATATAGCCAAGCAGTGACTCAGTGGAAGAAGAGAGTGCATGATAATTTGGGATCTTCTTGCCCTTTGATGGGCTAAATTCCAGTATTTTGGTTTTTGTATGTATATATTTTTTCATTTTAAACAACAAAAGGTTTGTGCTCCACTCCCCATTATAGGTCTCTCTTTGCCTTTGGCATCCCAGCCTGGAGAGAACATTAGAGGTCTCTAAGCAGAATGTGGATAATTGTGTGCCCAGGATATAGAGCAGAGCAGACCTCGGAGGTCCCTTCTGCATCTTAAATTAAAATGCGGCAGCACTGCCTAGAGTATGATGTCTCTGCTCATGTTGTGGGGTTTTGGCTTCATCTTCTGGATCAGTCTCACAGAGGGACCTTCCCATCTATTCTAAGACTAGTTGGCCCTTGAGTTTTTGTGGTGAGCAATAGAGGGGAGGTGAGGGAAAGGAGTCAGGGTGGGAGGTGGACAAAGGCAATTGGTCCTCTTGTTTGACACATTTTATTCTGTTCTGCTGTGGGTTGTGAGGCTCCACCTCTCAACTTCTTACTCCCACCCCCATGGATAAGTAGGAAGAGCTGCTGGTGTTTTCTGTTCAAACTGGGTGTCTAAATATTACAAGCCTGTCCTCTGCCTCTGCTCCTTTGACTGCTTTTATGGTTCCCTTTACTACTGCCTTTGTCTAGGCCCTGGAGATGCTTCTGCTCTGAAGATGACTTTGAGTGCTGTTTTGCCCTCAGCTTCTCATGGTGGGTCAGGTTGAGCAAAGGAAGTGAGCAGAAGTGAATCACAACGCATCATCTGCTCTCGCTCCAGATCTAGCTCTTTGCCGTAAAAATACTGCCTTGCCTTCTAGTTCTTTTCAGATCTAGCATTCTGTGTTCCAGTATTCACATTCCAAGGGGCCTTCCAATTCTGATATCCTGTGACTGTGAAGAGCCTTGGCACCCCATCTTCCTGGAGGGGAGAAGTGCCCAGGAAGAACTGATTGTGCCTCTTCAGACTCCACAGACTGATCGATGTCTTTGCCCATTTCTTTGCTTGTTAGCTTTGCCAACAGCCCTTTTCTCTGAGCGGTAGAGGGAAGAAAACTGAGCTCAGGACTCACGGACTCCTAGTAGCCAACTGTCTAGTGCCACAGAATCCCCAGCTCTCTGATGTCGTGCTCTCTTCCGATTTGGAGAGTAAAGAATTGTGTGGGTGATGGAAAGGAGTAGGAGATTCTCAGTCCAGTTTAAACAGGGTCTTTCTTCTCCCAGTCATTTCCATATGTACATACCCCTGATGGGATTTGATTGGCCCACTCTCCTACACCAGGCTTCGGCTGGAAAACTGGGTAAGACCACTCCTTGTTCTTCTGAACCAAGGGAAGGAGATCAACACCACAGCTGTTACCTTAATATAGCTATGACCTCAGGACCTAGCTTGTATGGACACTGATATTACCAAGGGAAAGTAGGAGGCAGTTAAGTAAAGTAGAAAGCGTGCTGGGCTCAGAATAGGGAGACCTGGGATTTTTCTGATTTCTGCTCTGCCTTTAGTGACCTTGAGCAAATCCTCTCTTCCCTATGAGCTTGTTTCCTCACCTGTAATACCGCTTGAATTACTGTATTTACCTCACAGAGTTGTGGGGAAAACATTTGTAAACTTTGAAGTGATTTATAAACGTGTGCTATTGTATGTAACATTAGGAATTTAGATCAAATTATCTCTGAGGTATCTTCTAGCACTAAAAATTACTGATTCTCAGAGGGGAAATGGGAGAAATTCTCTGCTTTACCTGTTATCTCAAGTAATAAGGCTGTCCTTTGCATTCTTTCTGACTTACTGAGATGGAGAATTCTTTTTACAAAGAACTAGCATTATTCGTGAGTTGGTATTAGTCCCTCCCTTTGGGTATCTGTATGCTCATCTCCTCTCCTAGTCCAGATTATAGGGAAACTCCCCAAATCTGTTTGATTACACTAGTTTACAAAAGTGAAAAAGGCCCTATTTGCTTTTTAGGAAGTGGTGACCATCTGACTTCACTTATTTCTGGTTTACAAACTACCCTAACTCACATAGGAGCACAAATTGTCATTTCATTCTCCTAACGCAGGGATTCTATACTTTTTTGTGCGTGATGGGCCCCTTTGGCAGGCTGGTGAAGTCTATGGACCCTTTCTCTAACTTTTTAAAATCGTAATTGAAAGAAATGCTAAATTTCATTTAGAGATGAGTGAAAATAGATTCAGTTTTTTCCCCCTATATAAGTTCATGGGCTTCCTGAAATCTCTGCATGGATCCCAGGTTAACAAATGCTGGCCTAGAGAGCTCAATAATACTCATCAATTGCCAAGCAGTTAGGTGACACAGTAGCTAGAGCCTAGTGTCAAGAAGACCCGAATTCAAATTTGGCTTTATACACTAGCTATGTGGTCTTGGGCAAGTCACTTAACCTGTTTCCTCAACTGTAAAATGGGAATAATAATAGCATCTACCTCCCAGGGTTTGTGTATTCCCTTTTCCTTCCTCCGTTTTCCAAAGGAGCCGGTTCATTCTAAGTAGCCCTAATTGTTATAAAGTTTGTGTTTACAGAGAAGTCTGCCTCTGGAACTTCCAGTTTTTGCTTCTGGTTCTCCCTTTAGGAGCCCTACAGACTACGTCTAAGCTTTCTTCAGCATAAGATGTGATTTTAGGGGAGGAAATAGTATGTGCCCCCACCTTCTCACCCAGTCTTTCTCTTCTTCAAGCTAAACTCCCCTCCTCCAGTTCCTTTAATCCCTCTTCACAGCATAATCTCAAAGCCATTCCCCATTTAGGCCACCCTCCTTTATGTTATTTTCCTAATGTTCTTCCAAAAAAAACCTCTCCAGCACTGAACACGATTCCAGGTGGGGTTTGACTACAGAGATTGTTAGTGGATTTCGAATATATAGGATATAGGATTTGGAATAGGGGCTGAATGGGTAGGAACTGCTATTTTACTGGCTGGATGACTTGAAGAAATTAACCTCTCTAGGTTCAGTTTCCTCATCTGTAAAATGGGGGGACCTGAATGGAATCCTCTCTAGGGCTCCTTCCAGCTTTAACATGAAAGGGCCAGAATCTGGATTTCCCCTGTAGAGGTGGGGGCCAGGAAGGTTTCTGACACGACGGGGTGCCAGGGCCGTAGAATTCTCGAGCTCTCTGGGAGGTGACGAGTTTGGATCGCACTCCTGGAAGGCGCCAATGCAGAAAGTTCCCGAGGTCCTCCGCTAGCCCACAATGCTCGGGGGTCGGGCTAGGCCCCGTCTCTTCCGGTTCCCTCCCCACCTCTCCTGGGCAGGGAGAACTGCGTTCGGGCCGAGCCGCGCGGCATGCCGGGAGTTGTAGTTCTGCTCTTGCAGCCTCCGGCTCAAGTCTACGGCGCCCGCACTGCATTTCCCAGAGTGCTGCAGGCTCGGGGCGGGAGAGGGAAGGTGGGTGGGGGGGGCAGTCGGTCCGGGACCGCGCTCGGTTGCCGCCACCGCCGTCGCCGCTGCCATCGTGCCAGCCAGTCGGGTGAGTGCAACGCATTGTCTGGCTGCGCGGGGCCAGGCCCTGGGGAAGCGCCCGCCTCCTCTACCCGGGGTAGGCGCACGCCCGCCCCAGCGCTGGTTCGAGACCTGTGTCCAGGGCTGGCCGGGCCTGGCGGGGCCCCCGCCCTCCCCGTGTGGGAGGCTGGCCGCTTGCTTCAGACTCCAGGGCTGCCAGGGAGGCCGGGCTCGCTCCGGCCCGGGGAGAGGCCGAGGTCCCGGGGGCCGAGGGTGGGTCATGGGGAGAAGGAAGAAAGTCACGCGGTCTGGGTGGAGGCGGCCGGGGTCTGGGTGCTGGGAGGGGGATCCTGGGGAGACCCGGTCTGGGGTCTGGTCTTTCTTCCGAGCGAGCCGAGCCCTCCCTCGGCCGGCCCCTCTCGTGTAGTCTGGCCGCACGCCGCTACCGCCAGGCCAGCCGGGGTGGGGGTGGGGCCGGGGCGTGGGGTGGGGGCTTCCCTTTAATCCTGCCTGTGGTGGTGTGCGTGTGTTTGCAGGCCTCGGACCCAGCATTACCCCAGGAGCCCAGTGTTAATTACAGAGCTTAAAAGGCAGAAGAGTTCACCTTCTAATTCTAGAACACCATCTTCTAATTCAGTCCCCTCATTTTACAGGTGAGGAAACTGAGGCCCAGAGAGCGAGACTTGACCCAAGGTCACACAGGTCAGAGCTGAGATTCAAGCTCAGTTTCTCAGATTCCAAAATTTAATAGAGAAGCAAAGCCAAGATTTGAACCCAGGTTCTATGGGAGTTTCATAGGCTGTAGAGCTGGAAAGAGCCACAGACAACTTCTAGACCAACTCCCTAAATTTATAGACCCTAGAGAGGTGAAGTCATGCAGTTTAGGGTGCAGAGCCAGTATTTGAAGCCAAATCATAGTAATTAAACCTGGAAGGCATTTTAAAGAACATTTAGAGACCCCTTTCATTTTACAGTCAGAAACCGAGGCTTGATAGGAGGACTTCTCCAAGGTTTGTTAGTAGCAGGGTAGAACTAGGATCTAGATTCCTGATTCATGATGCAGCTTCCCAGAACTCAGCTGCTTATCTTTCCCCTGCAGTCTGGTTTTCCCTCTGACTTCACTATTCCTGCCTGTAACATTACTATTTAGCCAGTATCCCATTTTTAAAAATTTGCAGGTAACACCATTTTTCATTTTGAGGTAAGATCCCTGGAGTCTATCTGGCATATTACCTTGCTCATTGTTCAACTGTTGTTGCTCAGTGGTTTCACTCTTGTCCAGATCTCTGTCACCCCTTTTGGGGCTTTCATGGAAAAGATATTGCAGTGGCTTGCCATTTCCTTCTCCAGCTTGTTTGACAGATGAGGAAACTGAGGCAAACAAAATGAAATGACTCTAAAGTCACATAGCTAGTAAGTGTCTGAGTTCAAATTTGAACTCAGATCTTCTAATTCTAGGACTGGTGCTCTGTTCATTTCACCCCTGTAGCTGCCCTGCCTTGCTCATACATAATAGGTGCTTAATAAATGCTTATGGGACTGAACAGGATCTTTGACTCTAAGCCCCACTAATTCTATACATTTGGATACTAAGTATTGTCAATTTGACCTTGGAGTCTTAAAATGCAGAATCCTGTTTCCAGTTGGTATTTATTTGGTTTATGGGGCAAAAACTAACTGTGAAAGCATATGGACATCTCATTCTATCTTTCTCTGGCTGTTAGAGTGATCTTTTACATCCCTTTCTCCACTGTGACCAGATGGATGGATTGAAGCCATGCTTTCCTGTCCTTGGGTTGTTAAGTGGTGACTAAATTTCAACAGTTAGTTATTCTAAACTCCAGCAAGGTCTTTCTGATATGAGCAGTAGGGCACCCTGTCTGTTCATCACTTTCTGAGTAGTAGCCCTGAGTTCTGTAGTGAAGGATTCCTGAGGCAACTTAGTTCAGGTAAAACCAGGAAGTAATAATAATAGGCACTTGTAGATATTTAGCTCCTTTAATTTAATTATTATCTCTTACGTAGTCTTATACCTCTTATGTAGCTTTAGAAGCCGGTGTAGTTTCTACACTTAATTTTTTTTTTAAAGATTTCCATGTTATAGGAAGAACAACACTGTATTTAAAGGTAGAGGACCTGTTTTCCAATCCAGGCGCTGCTACCTATTTGTGACTGACTGTGGGCAATAACTTCTGGAACTCAGATTTCCTTATTTACAAAATGAGTTTATATGCACAGTCCCTTCCAGCTCTAAATCCACGAGTTCCTTACACTCACAGGGCCAGTAGGTCACTGATTTTCATTGATTGGTTGGCTTCGTTATTCTGGGCATGGAGAGCTTCCTTATTTACAAGATTAGCTTGGAGGAGCTAGTCCTGGCCACCCTTGTTCATCATCACTCTTGATGTGGTGACTGACTTTAGTCATTGCCTTATTCTCCTTTGTTGTATGATTCTATTTCTTTAACATTACAGAATCTACTGATTTCTATTTCTTATAATGAAATGACTCCTGTGGCATAAGTTGAAGTTGATCTGATTGAAATTAACACCACCCCTAAAAAGATAAGCACTTAATGGAAAGTCTTTTGTGTTGCTGCTACTGGCTAGGCCAGTCTAGAGGAAAGAATTGGTTGGGCTAGAGCTGATTCCACATAGCTTATTCATGTATGACTAAGTCATTCCACTTTTCTGCCTCAGTTTAATTCATCTGCTGATAAGAATGGCCATAGGGATGTTGTGTTATCAGAGGAGATGGCGTGAAGTGCTGTGAATTCTTTAGAAGAAAGTTTCCATTAGTGTTTTTGTGTATTGTTTTTTCCTTGGTATCAATCCCAACCAGTACAGTTTTACTGTAGTTATGATGATTTTTTTTTCCCTCCCACCACCTTGAAGAATGGTCTAAAATCCAGAGGTGTCAAAAAGTCTGGAAAAAGCTCAGATTGTTGCTGTTTCAGTTTGACTTGGGGGTTGGGTGGCCTAATCAATACTTAAGGCCAGGAGACTGAGAAAGGAAACTTAGAAGTTCAGCGGGAACTTTCTTTTGTCCCTAACTTCTCAATTCCACCTTCTCTAAACAAGAGAGCAAGTTAGGCTCATTCCCTGGGCTGGGGAGGCAACATCATCCAGTTGTGCTTGTACTGCACAGAGGCTGACTTGGGTGTCTTGAAGCAGGCCATTGAGGAGTCTGGTGTAGGAGGCCCTGGATGTAGGACTCCTGAAATCAGAAAGTGGCAGGAGTAAGCATTAACTGAATCCCTTGGCGCTGAAAGCAGTTTTCTCAGACCCTTGCCCAGTCATCCCCTTTGGGATATGTTATAGGACATAGGGCCTTCTCATGAACCGTATTTACACCTTAGCTTTCTAGTTAAAGGTAGACTTTTTCCTCAGTGTTTCACCAGATGAAATACTTTTTTGTTACTAAGCCTTTTCATTGATTGGTTATTGAGTCTTTCTAGCCCCAGTGAGGTAATAGTCATGGCTAACACTGTTACTTTACATATGCTAGATAATTTGATCCTCACAACAATCCTGGGAGGGAGATGCTATTATTATCCTCATCTTACAGATGGGGAAACTGAGGCACAGAGAAGTGACTTGCCCAGCATCACACAGCTAGTCAGTGTCAGAGGCAGAATTTGAATTCAGATCTTCCTACCTCCGTGTGCCATACCATCCATATTTCATCTGCTACCTTATCTAGCCATCTGGAATGTTTGGACATCTGCAGAGCAATTTGCTTGGACTTAACCTGTCAGGAATAAACAGGGGCGTGTGGTACAGTGAAAAGATTTAGAGTCAAAGAATCCAGGTTGGAATCCCTTCTCTGCTTCTTGGCCTGTGACTTGGGTAAGTCTCTTCTGCTCTGTTTGCTCATCTGTACAATGACAGTTGGGTTAGATCAGGGCTTCTTAACTTTGTGTGTGTCCTGGATGCCTTTGGCAGCCTGTTGAAGCCTATAGACCCCTTCTCTCAATAGTGCTTTGAAATGCATCAAATAAAACACAGGATTATTTAAAAAAAAAACAAATTGAAATAAAATTATCAAAATATTTTTTAAAAGTTCACGAACTCCTGATTAAGAACCACGAAACTAGATGGCCTGTAAGGGTCCTTTTCAGCTCTCAATTCTATGATCCTATGATATGCAAATTCCAGGGCCCTCTAGATTTTATGACAATGACCACGTGATTTTATTGAGGCTTTGGGATAGAATGAGTTAAAATTCCTTTTCAATCATCTAGGAATTGAAGTCTCAAATCTTTAGTGTTCCCTAGGAATCTTTTGTGGCTAAAATTTGTAGGGCGGTTTCTTACCATTAGGTAAGGTAGGTGACGCAATGAGCTTGGAGTCAAGAAGACCTGAGTTCAAATCCTATCTCAGATACTCATTAGCTGCGTGACCCTGGGCAAGTCGCTTAACTTTTGCCTGCCTCGATTTCCTCTACTGTAAAATGGGGGTAATAATAATAATAGCACCTACTTCCCAGGGGTGTTGTGAGGATTCAGTGAGATAATATTTGTGCCTGGCATATAGTAGGTGCTTAATAAATGCTTATTCCCTTCCCCCATTACCACCATTCTTCCTTTCCAGTCTCTTTCCATGTTAGAGCAAGGCAGGAAGTCCTCCCTCAAATGGCCTTTCCCAGCTGTCAGTGGGGAGGAAGGAGCTCAGTGAGTGTTTGGTGATCAGTTTTGGTCTGATTGGCTGGGGAATGGGAATGGGCTTAAGATGGATGCTTGTTCCAGGTTTTCTCTCAGGAGAAGAATGCTGCCTTTGCTCCAGAGCTGTAAGTTGGTGTGTATGGAATCAACCTAAGAAAAGACCACAGGATCTGTTCTTTTCAGCTTAGGTAGGAGAGAGAAGTGTTCTTATTTCTTCTCTGTTCTTGTTCTCTGATAGTAAAAAAAAAAAAAAATGAAACTTGGCGCTGACCTGTCCAGGATGACATCCAGGTTAAAAATGAATATCAGAAAGATAGCCTGACGATGGCGGAAGGGAAAGGAATGAGACGTCAGAGGATCTGGATTCTTGTGCTTGCTGTACCAGTGACTTACTGTGTGACCCTCTGGCAAGGCTCCTTATCTATAAAGGGGCAAGATTGGGCTGGGTGATGCTTCTAGCCTCTTTTGCCTTCAAAATTCTCTTGATTCTAAACCTGAAGTGTTGATTTCTAGTGGTGTAGGAGGACTGGGCCTGGGATTCTCTTTTCAGTCTGATCACCAAGCATTTATTAAGTGCCTATTATTAATGTGCCAGGCCCCATGTACAATTCTGAAGGGCATCCCATTGGCTAGATGGAGACCTGAGTTGGCCTAAGAAGTGGATTGTAATCGAGGCCTTTTAGTGAGCAGTCCTCAGTCATTTTAAATTGCTGCAGTTATTAGAAAATCAAGACATTTTCATCTTTTTTCTGGTTTATTAGGTTTAGGCATTCACTTTCAAATTTGCAACTGTTTTTTCTCTCCACTCCTTTTTCATTGCTCTTAGAAAGGTTCACTTTTTGTCCTGCTCTTACCTGTTGTTCTTTCCTCTCTTTCTCCTATTCTGGGCTAATCTTGGGTTTTGCTGTTTCTATCTCTTTTTTTTTTTTAAGTGAGGCAATTGGGGTTAAGTGACTTGCCCAAGGTCACACAGCTAGTACGTGTCAAGTGTTTGGTCTGAGGCCGGATTTGAACTCAGGTCCTCCTGACTTCAGGGCCAGTGCTCTATCCACTGCGCCACCTCGCTGCCCCTTCTATCTTTCTTAATATCCACGTATCCCTTCAGTGTTTCCACAAGTGCCTGTTTGTTACTGAGCAGGGATTGCAGGCTGACTGGCTCCAGTGATTAGTAGAGTTGTTCTCTGACTTACTGCAGTGGGGAGAGCCCTACTTTATAGACAAATACTAAGCTTCACCCTTTAGGAATTGAACTCTCAGCTTCTTAGGTGGCCTACTGAGTCACACTGCTGCTGTAATTATGATTTCTGAAGTTAATGTGAAAGGAGAAGAAATGAGTGTTGGAAAAAGCAGATGCCGTCTATACCCTTAGATTGAGTGAAGATTAAAACTGAATAGTCAAATCATTTTGGAGCAGGGGTTCTTAAACCGGGATCCATGGACATCCAAAGATATAGAAATTATATGCACAGATATATTTCAGGGGCTCTTTGAACTTGGATGAGTTTTAAAAAAAAAACTGCATCTTTATTTTCACACAGCTCTAACTGAAATTTAGCATTAATCTGAGTATAGGTCCATGACCCAAAAAAAGGGTAAGAATCCCTGGTTTGGAAATTCTGGTTCTAGATATATGCAGACCAAGTAGAAGCAGGAGCTTGACCTTATCTTTGGGCAGTTAAGGATTCTCTTTTTTATGTTTATGTTAGGGATTAAATTTGGAATTTCTGTTGTCTCTTTTTTCCTAGAGAAATTCAGAGGACACTGGATTGTCTTATCTATTTTGAAAGGATCTTCAGCTTGGTCTAGTAGCTAGGACTTCAATAGAATGACAGGGCTCAGTTGTACTTCCCAGCATGGCTACTGACCACCTGTGTAACCTACAGCAAGTCACTCCTGCTCTTTGGGCCTCAGTTTCCAAATCTTTAAAATGAAGGGGTTCGATGAGGTGATCGCCAAGGTTTCTTCCAGCTCTAGAACTTTTGCCTTGAGGTCATTGAACTCAGTCCATGCTTGAGCTGGAATTCCTGCTATGATAAGGGGTCATCCAGCCTTTGAGGGAAAAACTCCAGTGACAGGAGCTCAGTGTGTCCTGGAGCAGCCGGCTTCACTTTGGGGCAGCCCTCACTGTTACTAAGCTTGCCTCAGTAATTCTCATGGTGGCCAGAAGAGGCAGCTTTTGAGGATCCAACATATGGACTGCCTGTCCATGGTATGAATTATCTTTGACTGTCTCTTTTTAAAAAAATTATTCATGTGGATTTTGTTTTTATATCACCTACACTTAACTCCACTGTATGGGAAGACTGATCACAAAATAACCCCAGCTCAGCTTCCCTCCAACCCCAGAATGGTCTGAACTACCTTCCTTCATGATCACTCATCAGGTGACCTGGGGATGCAGACTTTACCAGCCTCAGCACAGCAGAAGTGGAGGTTTACCTATAAACAATTCATTCTAAAACTAAACGAAAGTGGGTTTTTTGGGGGTGGGGGGGCAATCAAGGTTAAGTGACTTGTCCAGGGTCACACAGCTAGTGAGTATCATGTGTCTGAGGCCAGATTTGAACTCAGGTCCTGACTCCAGGGCCAGTGCTCTATCCACTGTGCCACCTAGCTGCCCCCATTCCTTTCTATTTTTTAATGGCTGCTGGGTGGTACAGTGGGTAGAGCAACAGGCCTGGAGTCAGGGAATCTCATCTTTCTGAGTTCAGATATTGCCTCAGACACTCTTACTAGCTGAGTCACCCTGGGCACGTCACTTAACCCTTTTGTCTCAGTTTCTCCATCTATAAAATGAGCTGGAGAAGGAAATGGCAAATCACTCCAGTATCTTTACCAAGAAAACCCCAAAAGGGGTCACCAAGAGTCGGACACGACTGAAAATGTCTAACTGACAAGAGCAGTAATTGGAGACAGGACCTGCCCATGGTCTTGTAATGAATCCAGCCATTAAAAGTTGCAGGTTATACCCGTGTGTTTTTTATACCTTCTGGTGTAATTTCTAGTTCTGTATCTTGTCTAATAGGAATTAAATGTAGCTCCCTGAATGAGCTTGCTAACCGCCATGGGGAGGAAACCTTCCTGGTCCTAGTGGAACCTGTGACCGAAGCAGCGCTAGGACAGCTTTGGGACTGTGTCCCCCACCCCCACCCGTCAGCAACGTCAATGAGTGAAACAGCACAGAGGCCGAAGGCTGGGCCTCTTGGACAGATGCATAGTTCAGTAGAAGTGAAACGTGAGGATCTCTGTGATTCCTCATTTCTTGGTCTGATGTGGGGATTGACCTTCGGATCTCTGCTGTGTCTTTACTGGGGAAGCTCAGTGTTCCTTGGGGATATCACCTCAGTAATTCTCTGACCCAGGAAGAATCTGCTAACGGGCAGAACAGGAATAGAAAGAGTTGCTGCATGAGGTAGTGAGCATTCTGTCTCTGACCGTTCCTGTAAGGGATATTGTATAGGAAAGAGATGTCAAACTCAAGCTGCAGGAGGCCTGCAGAACTCCCAGGTGTGTGCCCTGGAACTCGATTAAAATGTAATTGGGGAATATTTAACAAAATAAATAAAAATACAACATAGATAATGTCAATTTGTGGTTTTCTAAGTCAGTATGTGGCCCACAGTTTGACACCACTGGTATAGAGGACTCCTGTGTTGGGAAAATGGGCTAGACCTCCAAGGACCCTCCCAACTCCTAAGATTCTGTTCTGTGTTGGGTCTTTGTACATTAGCAGTGTGGTCCTCCACCCTTGTGCCGCTCTCAGTTTGGACTTCATGCTTGGGTTTGAATTCCGGGGCTGCTATTAGCCGTGTGGTCATGGACAAGTCCTTGCACCCTTCTGGATTGGTCCTCTTCTCTGTAAAATGAGAGTGGAGACAGGTGGTCTTCCAGAGCGTTTCTAGCTCTAGGCCATATAATTCCCCGAGTGGGTCACTATGTGAATAGTGTTGTGCTGGATTTACTGATTAGAACGTGGCTTCTGCCTTCCAGCAGTTTAGTCTCAGGGTGTCCTAGGTCATCCACCTTTTTTCTGTCTACAATATCAACATTTGTGTCTGCTGAACCAAGCATATCCCAACTAGACAAATGTGCCTATTTGAAAGAGAAAAAGGCTCTTTTAGCTGCTGAGATTGCAATCTGTTGTCCTCCCTGGAGGCTGCATCTGTCCAATTCCTTGATCAGATT